CCGCATAGTGTAAACTTCAGCCGGGACCCATAGTTATGAACCTCGAAGAGTGCCTAACACCTTGTCTTTGAGGTAACTTGAGCCCTTACCCGATATTTAGTGGCACAGATTAGTCAAATCAGAATTATTTGCAAATAGGTTCCCTAATGCACCTTTAAAATCGTTAGGGGGCGACTCTTCTTTTTTAATACCCATTTAAGAGAGTTGTCACACGTTAAAGCCTGCTTTCATGAGAAAACGGGGCGCGACACCAGCAAAAGGGACGTCAGTACGAAATAATGTACCGAGTATGTAAGGCAACAGAATAATTGAAAGCTAAAATTGAACTGATAATATAATAATTGAAAGTAACTAGAAGTTAGAGATGATCTGAAGATATACTTACCTGCTGATACTGATTCAACTCTCTCAATATAGTAAGTAAAATAGATGTACGGCCCTATAAGGCTCGATATGTATAACTGCTCTGCCGTAGTAGGCTCGCTCATAGGCGCTCCGCCATACTAGGCTCTGTATCTTGGCCATTCTGGGCTCGCTCATAGGCGCTCGGCCATAGTAGGCTCGGTATGTAACTTACCATCTGATCAGAGGTTGCCCAATAGGGGCCTGCTAACCGATTATAGCTCGATGGTGGTGAAAATACTGTAATACTATATATATATATATATATATACCCTTTGCTTTATTAACTGGAAGAAGTCAATACTTAACATAATATAAAGTCCCGATAAGGGAGAATATGATAACTTGTGAGATTAGGATAATGTACATAAATTCAGGAATATGAACTTCTCTTTATGTCTTGTTATCAAACACATGTGGTTACGGGATCATGCCAAAATAAAGGAAAGGTTTAGCCTTAACATACCTTAACCCTGTTGAGTCCTTAATACCTTCCAAGCAATTCTTCAAACAACTCAACAGAATCTACCATAGCATAAGGAGATTCAAAATCAGTGCTAAGTAAAGGCTAAGTCCGCAACTTAAACTAGTAGCTCGTTTATGTAAATTTGGGCAGCATCTCCCCTGTAACAAGGTCCTACTCTAATACCATAGACCAACAACAACAACCAGAGTTATACAATAAGAACAACATGTAACACCCCGGAAAAATTTGAAGTACTTAGGTATAAAGCCCGGTAAAATTTGCAAAGAAAATAATATTTCATGTTGCCGGACTAGGCTTACGTGTTGAGGATTATAGAAATTAAAGCTCGCCGCGGATCGGACTTTTTGGGTTGAACAATGTACCGGAAAGTAAAGAAAAATTTTTGGCGGAAAAGCGCGTTTATGCGGTCCATTATGCGACCGCATAATCACTCTATGGGGCGCATAATAGCCGCAGAAGTGAGCAGGAGAGGGCCAAATCTGGCAGCAGCTATGCGGTCGACTATGAGACCGCATAACTGTTATGCGATGCATTATGCGACCGCATAACAGTTATGCGGACCGCATAACAGTTATGCGGACCGTATAGTGATCGCATACACAGACAGATTTTTGATCATTTTGTCAGCAATTATGCGACCGATATACGGTCCGCATAACCACTATGTGGTCGCATATGCGACTGCAAAACCGTTCCGGAACTCCATTTTTGGGTTTTTAAAACCCGACCCTACTTCGTTAAAAATACTCTTTGGGTCTTTTTTGAACTATAATCTGACATTTTAGAGTGAGAGAGAGAGCCCTAGAGTGAGAAGGTGTTCTTCAATAATTGTTCTTCAATTCTTGCTCAAGTTTTGGAAGATTAAGAAGGGAAGCTCACTAGGTCTTCATTCTAGAGGTAAGATTCTACACCCTAAACCCTAATTTCGAAATTTTCTGAAAATGGGTAATTAGCAAGATAAGTTTTGGGCGTGAGAGTTATTTATCTTACATGCATGTGTTATCAAAGGGTGTAGGAAGATTGTTGAGCTAGGAATGGTAAAGATTGGATTGTGGGATGATGGAATCCTCCATAAAAGGGCTTTGAAACATTAATGCACACCTAGTATTTGATAAAATGCTCAAACGAGCTAGAACCATAATCATCTTCCTAATTTTGGTTCAATTTGTTATATTTCTAAAATTGATTGAAGTTGCTAAGAATTNCGGTTTATCATATTCATCTTGTATTTCTGAATTCTTAAATTGGTATTTAGTTTTCATACTAGTACTATTCGACGGTACTAACGTCCCTTTTGTCGGGGGCGCTGCATCTTTAAATGGATGCGAGTGGTTTCACAGCAGGAGATATTGATCAGTGATAGCAGTACACCTTCTTCCCAACTGACTTGGTGAGTCCCACTTCATCCCGGGGTCATGTATCTTTTGTTCTTTGTGTATTAAGTTTGAGGTATAGCCAGGGCCTTATTGCTGGCATTATCATTGTACTCATCTTTATCTATAGAGGCTCCGTAGACATAGTGTGGGTTGTATAATGGTGCTGGGGAAGTCAAACTCGTGTGTTGTGCTTGAATTACTATTTCCACTTCAGATTATGAAAAATGTGTTTGGAATTGAGACTTCAAAATAAAGTAACTGATGGTAAGAAATTGGTATTGTAGACATGATCACTTTATTTGTTGATTAACGAAAACATATATATTCTCACTATTCATGAATGAGTTTGGGTAGAAGAAAATCTAATAAGCTTGCTCGGCCGGGTTCACATGGTTGAGTGCCGGTTGCACTCCTCGGTTTTGGGGCGTGACACAACATCAACAATAGGGTACAAAAAATTTCATTAACAAGTCATAAACATATCACGACGAGCGGCAAGGTCGGATTGAATCCCTTTAGCACCCTTCAACCCCATTATCATTCATTCTTGAACTTAGAAATATATCTAGTATAATAACCAATACCTTTTAAAGGATTTCCAACATTGTACTCAATTTCAAAGTTATCTAAAATAGCCCAACACAAGATAATATCACTGTCGACAACTTCCAAGTGCTTTATAGCAATTTTCTTTTCTAGTTACCAATTTCCTCAACAAGATTGATATGTAAACTAACATAATCATACTAAAAATATCATAGCCAACTTATGTTCCATAATTCCCATCCACTTAAAGTTCATAAGAGCAATTTTCAAATTATTCCATCAAGAACAACAACATCTCAAGCTAATCCAAGTATTATCTTGTAGTTTATGCTCCTAACAACTTAACCAACATACAAGAAAGCTTAAGCACAATTAGTAGGATGTTATGCTCACCTTAGCCAGTAGAAACAACTTGAAATTTCAGCAAAACATAGCCCACCATTATCCTCAATGACAACACAACCTCAAAGAGGTGTTGTTCTTCACTAGAACTAACTTTTGATATTGAAATATGGTGTAATCACTTTGGAATCACTTCAAACCCTTATGATATCTGTGTATAAGGGTTAGGAGGAGTGTAGGGACGAGATTGGGTCGAAAATGAGAAATAAAGGTCGTCCAAATCATTTTTAAAGTGAAGTAAGTCGACCACCGCGTAAGTGGGTCCCATTTGGAGCTGCTTGCACAGTCTTGCAAAAACATGAATATCTCTCTACTCTAATACTGTATTGATGAACAGTTTAATAATTTAGAAACTAGACTCATAGATATTCAATTTGATAGGTAGATCATCCTGTAACACCAAATACATTGGGAGAAATGATCAGCTACATTTGACCTAAATTTCAGCATATTTATGAATGTAACTTGTGATGACCTTTGCCAACTTTTCTTCCACAACTTGCTTGACTTCAAACATAATACCCGGCTATCATATGACTAAAATAACTCATAAAATAACCTCCTTGTCATGTAAAACACCCTAGTATCACCCCAAAAGTACATGTTATAACATCCCCAACTTGTCAACTTTCGACGAAACTTATCTTCTTCAATTTGTTTAGCTTCTAGGTCTTCCAACCCTCTTGGTACTTGTTATCCATGATCTTAAATATTTGTAACCTCCATGGTAACATTATTAACTTACTTTATGTACTTTCAAAGATGATCTCATTTTTGAGCTTACATTAATTGACTTACGATATACTCTCACGTATGGAAACATGGGGTGTAATAAAAGTACCATAAGGGCACGTGAAAGTCATTTTCTCCTGATCCTCTGAGCATATGACAGTCTGGTTGTACCCCGAATAACCATCAAGGAAGCAATAATACTCATGCCTAGCCAACCTGTCCAAGATTTGGTCAATGAATGGAAGTGGAAAATGGTCCTTGCGGGTTGCTTTGTTGAGCCTTCTATAGTCAATGCAGACTCTCCACCCCATCATGGTGCGAATAGAAATTAGCTCATTTTGCTTGTTTTCCACCACAATCATCCCGCCCTTTTTAGGCACACATTGCACTGGGCTTAGCCAATTGCTGTTAGAAATAGGGAAGATAATACCTGCATCAAGCCACTTAATTACTTCCTTCGTCACAACCTCCTTCATAATAGGATTAAACCTCCTTTGTTTCTCAACAGTGGGGCAGTGTCTATCTTCCAGAAAAATTTTATGCATACAGAATGATGGACTGAATTCCTTGATATCATTAATTATCCAACCAATAGCTTTTTTGTGCTCAGGAAACACTCTTAGCAGCTTTTCTTCTTGCACATTGGTTAAGCTGGTTGAAATAATCACTGGCAAAGTTTCAGAACTCCCCAAGTAGGCATAGCGCAGGTGCGCTGGAAGAGGCTTGAGATCTAGCTTTGGAGCATCTTTAACAGATGGTTTAGGAGGGGTCAGAGTAACATGTATGTCCAACTCCTCAAATCTCCCAAGCCCATGGACATACTTGCAAGCCATGTTAAGGACTTGCTCAAATTCTTCCACCATCTCATCTTCACTTTCTTCTTCATCCCCCATCAAAACTCGTTCAAGGGGGTCTGTGGGGCTCATATACGGCACCAATAAAGTCACATAACTTTTCACCACAAAAATCATGGATAACGCGTCATAGTGGGCTGGCAATTTAATTTCTTTATAAACATTGGATACCTCCACTCAATCACCCACTCTCATTGTGATCTAGCCTCCACACACATCAATAATAGCTCGACTTGTGTCTAAGAATGGACGCCCCAAAATAAATGGGACTTCCTGATCAGGCTCATAGTCCAAGATAATGAAGTCAGCAGGGAATATGAAAGAACCCACTTGGACTAACAAATCTTCAATTACCCCTTCTGAATTAGCAAGGGAGCGATCAACCAACTGTAAAATCATCATAGTTGGGCGCGGCTCACCCAACCCTAACTGCTTAAAAATAGATAGCGACATCAAATTGATGCTCTCTCCAAGATCACACAAAGCTCGCCCAACTGCGTGCTTACCAATCGAGATCTGAATAGTGAAACTGCCTGGATCCTTAAATTTTTGAGGTAGCTTGCTTTGAATTCTTGAGCTATATTCTTCAGTGAGTGCTAGTCTCGAACTCGGCCAACCTCCTTTTACTTGCCACTATGTCTTTGATATATTTTGCGTATTTGGGCACTTCTTACAAGATGTCTACCAGCGGAATATTAATTTGCACCTGCTTTAAAATATCAAGAAATTTCTTATAAGCAGCATTATCCTTCACTTTCTGCAATCTTTGAGGGAACGGAGGTGGTGGCCTCAGAACTATTCGTTGAGGTTTCTTTGTCCCCATCTCTTCCACTGGCTTCTCTGACACCTTTGCATTTACTTATTCCACTTCTATGGTGGCCTATTTTTTATTAAAAGTTACTTGTTTTCTTTGTTTCGATGGGACTTCTTCTAACTGTCTCCCATTCCTCAATGACACAGCATTAATAGACGCCTTGGGATTAGCCTCAGTGTTGCTTGGAAGAGCCCTAGCTGGTCGAGAATTTTGGGCACTAGCCTGATTATGATTATCAGTCATAATTTTCTTGAGCATCTCCTAAATATAACCCATTGGATTTGCGAACTGATCAGCTTGCGGTGGTCTATATTGCTGCTGAGGAGCTTGTGGCCTATACTAATTCTAAGCACCTTGATTTCCACCCCAAGAAACGTTTGTGTGGTTCCTCCAGCTGGGATTATAAGTGTTCCCATACTGATTTGTCTGGCCCCGATTTGCATTACCCACAAAACATATAGACTCCGAATTTGCTGGGCATAGATCACTCGTGTGGCCCTCTCCACACACTTCACAAAATAACTGAACATGTTGCACTGACTGAGCTTGTTGCTTATTAATAACCAAGGTCATCTTATTGACTTGGTTGGCTAATGTGGAAAACTACACTGATAATGCAGAAACAGCGTCTAACCCGAGGACCCCTGCAGATTTTTGAACTATGTGTCCATCTCTCCTTGCCAGTCAGGATTACTTTTGGAGAATTTGTTCAATAATGCATAAATTTTATCAAAGCTTTTCTCCAACACTTGACATCCAGCTACAGCGTCCACCATAATTTGTTTCTCTAGATGTAGCCCTTCTGTGAAGTTATGAGCCAACTCTTCATTTGTCTGGTTGTGATGAGGACAATCTATAAGCAGCCCCTTGAACCTCTCCCAAGCTGAATATAAAGACTCACCCAATTTTTGTTTAAAAACGGCTATATCACTTTTGATCTTTGCAGTTTTGCCTGAAGGTAAAAGAATTAGTCGGTCCGCCTTCAACCACTGCTTTGCTTCGCCTAACTGAGAAAACAGGAACAATGTGAGCCTCACATAGTCTGGAGTGACTCCGTTAGTGATATAAGTATCACTAATCTCCAAGAAATTGAGAATGTGTTGTTGTGGATCCTCGTGTGGAAGACCCATAAACTGCCCATTTGCATGTAGCAACTGGATCATGCTCTGTTTTAGCTCAAAGTGCCCGGTGATTCTGGGCCTCACAATACTAGAGGTGATATTAGCAATGCTAGGCATCGCCACCTCCTGAATAGCCATATGTTGCTCATCTACCATGTTCATAGGTAATTGAACAAGTGTCTGAAGATTATATGTGTCCCTTGCTTCTCTCAACCTGCTTTGAAATGTTCTCTCAGGTTTTGGGTCAAAGCCTTGAAGTCTATCTTGGCTCCTGACCATTTGCATTCAATTGAAGTTCCTAAGAGTAGAGCAACCAATAAGAAACGTTAGACTTGACAAAATAAACAACTAAGGTAAAAGCTAGTAAAGTAGTCAATATTCAAGTTCCCGGCAACGCCGCCAAAAAATTATTACTCCCAAAGGCACATGCAAGCATACGTGGTCGTACAAGTAATATAATGATAAGAAGAGTATCGAACCCATAGAGACTTGTGTTAACTACCTACTAATTTCACCAAAATTATTATTCAATCGAGTCAACAAGAGTTGAATTATGTGATTATAACTAAGCCATGAATGTCACAAGTAATTAGTTAATCAAGCAGAAAATGGTTATTGAGAATTCAATAGAAATAAACATTCCAAGGTTGTGATCGATTTACCAATCCTATTGTGTTCTAATTAACTCTCCCTTTCATACAATTCGCTCATGGTTGCTAAATAATTGAGTAATTGCTCTCGTAGCATTCTCCCGAGTTACTACTCGCCTATTCAAAATAGATTAATGCCTATTTTCCTAGGGAATCAATCTATTAAGAACGCATTAAGATTATGATATTTAATTAAGCACGGTGACTAGGTATATTCCTATCCTAACCACAAATCTCCCACCCTCCCCCATAGTTAAGATCATGCCCTCTTCAATTCTTCTCTAATCTAGACGTAGCTTTCCCAAGCATAGCATAGATAGTAAATAAAACCTAACTATTGGCCAGACAACTAAGCAATTAATCACAGAATTGAAGAAACAACCATATATTAGCGAACTATAATCAATGTAAAGTCAACTTCGAAGAACAATATTCATGGCTAAATCACAACGGCAGAACTTATGGGTTTTAGCCACTTATAATAAAGTTAAACAATTTCACAAGTGTTTGAATAATTGAAAATACTGAAAGATGAAAAAAAACTGAGAATCCTTGCTCCTGAGTGTTCTGTGTAATGTTCTCTCCTCCAAATAATGTCCCCCCCCCCCAAAGAAAAATAGGTTTAGAACCCCTTTTATACATGTTGGGGACGTGTAGGGTTGAAATAATCAAGTCCCAGTCGAATTAGGACAAACTTCGCCCTTGGGCGTCACGCTTTGCGCCTTGCACGAAGCTGGACACTGAACTTCTTAGCCTGCTGTCAATGGCGTTTTGGTTGGTTCCTGGGCACCAAACTTTTTTCACTTTTGTGCTCTGCTGCCCTTGGCATTTTGGTTGGTGTCTGGCGCGAACCTGGGCACCAAACTCGTACTTCCTCCAAATTCTTCTGTTTTTACTTCAATTTGCATGCAAACTTTCCAAATCACTTCCAATTGACTCCTACATATAAAAATACCACATTATAATAAATAATTACATTACACATACTAAACCCATAAAATATGAGTCAAATGAGAGGCGATATGCACATAAATATACATACTTTAGGCCGAATATCATTGGACTTGTCAGATAGTTCTCTCACGTGTTTATCTTTCCATCTTCAGATATGTTCGAGTTGTGCTTGCTGGGTACGGATTGCGACTATGTGACTAGGTGGTGCACGGTGTGGCTGGTTGGTCAAATAGCTTGTACTGGATGAGATGAGATGAGATCATTGGACCTAGAATTAGTGCGACTGGACTTGGATAATGTATGTCTGGACAAGAATGTTGTTGATCAGCTTAGAGCTGGGGGTTGGTTCTTGTCGGGAGAGAGAACTCCATGGCTTATTGCTTAGGTGAGTGGTTATGAGTTTCCACACGTTTCTTGCATCATTAGCAGTGTTGTGAAGGTTTAGAATAAGGTTTTATTTGATGTGAGGTTATTTACCGGTACCGAATTTGGTAATGGGCAGCTATTGTGGTCGGAGATGTTGCTATGGGCATATGAACGATAGGTTACGTTGTGTTGCTATACCTTGTAAATGTATAGAATCGAGTCTTAGGAGGAGTCCTGGATATTGAAATTTAGTTCTAAGGCTTATTGATTAAGGTTGAAGGAATAATCTTCAGTCGAGATAGTGTTGACGGGATTACGTGGATTGAGGTGACGTGGGATCACCCCTGGGTATGTGCATGATGGAGTTTATTCAGTGATTTGTTGGCTCTAGAGCGACTCTTGGTGCATTCGAGGACGGACATTTGTTTAAGAGGGGGAGAATGTAACAACCCGACTGGTCGTTGTGAGCTTTAGCGTTCCGTTCGGTGTTTTGAGATATTGAGTAGCTTTATATGATGTATCATGAATTGCGTGTATGGTTGTTTTGGTGTTCGAGAGGTTCAGAGTTTATTTGGAAAAGAAATTCTCAATTTGGACGTTTTAAGTTGGAAGAGTTGACCGAGATTTGATTTTTGTGAAAACGACACCGGAACAGTATTTTGATGGTTCCATTAGGTTCATATGGTGATTTTGGATTTAGCATATGCCTAGAATCGGCTTCAGAGGTTCCTAGGTTGATTTCGATCGTTTTGCCGAAAGTTGGCAATTTGGAGGTTTAAAATTTTTCTAAGTTTAACCATGGGTTGACTTTATGGCCATCGGATTCAGATATTGGTTTTGGGACTTGAAATAGGTACGTTTCTTCATTTGGAATTTGTGTGCAAAGTTTGGTATCATTCTGAGCTGGTTTGGTAGGAATCAGACGCTTGGTTGTGATTTTAGAAGTTCTTGAGTTTCAATGCGATTTTTATGTGTTTTGGTGTTCAATTCATGGTTCCGGATATTATTTTGGTGTTTTAAGCTCGCGGGCGAGTTCATATGATATTTATAGACTTGTGTGGATGTTTAGTGTGAAGCCCCGGGGGTTCGGGTGAGTTTCGAACACGTTTCGGAGTGATTTGAGTGAGTTTCACATTTGCTGGTTTTGGGCTGATGCTGCAGGTCTCGCAAATGCAAGATCATGTTCGCATTTGCGAGGTTGGCTGGTGCTGGCGTGTTCTATTTTGCAAACATTTTGATCGCATTTGTGATGGGGCTATTGGGCAGGGGTGACCGCAATTGCAGGGGTCGTTTTGCGAAGGGGCTTGTCTTCACATTTACGAAGATTGTGTCACTTTTGCAACATTCCCTAGGCTACTGAGGCGTCGCTTTTGCGATGCTTTTGTCGCATTTGCGTACCCCTGGTTGCAAATGCGACATCTGCGTTTGGTTTAAAGGGTGGGATTTCGGGACTTAGTTTTATTTTATCACATTTTGATCCCTAGACTCGATGGGAGGCGATCTTAGGAGGGAACTACAATGCTATTGGGTAAGTGATTTTGACTCAATTTTGATATTATAACATGATTATTTATGAATTTTAACATATAATCCATGAGATTTGAAGAGAATTTTTGGGGAGTTTTGACTATGTGTTGAAAAATAAAAATTTGGGATTTGAGAATCGATTTGGATTCGGATTTGAAAACCAAACACATATTTGGACTCATGGGGTTATGAATAATCAAGATCTACCCTTCGACTCGAATTTTGACCGAGCGGGTCTGGGATTGACTTTTGTTGAATTTTTGAGAAAAGTGTAAAGATCTTAACTTTATTAATTAAAATTGATTTCTCTCGCAATGCTTGATATTATTAAGTTATTTTGGCTAGATTTGAGCCGAGCGGAGGTGAATTTTAAAGGAAAAGCATTTTTGGAGTACTGATTGGGGGCTTTTGAGGTAAGTATCTTGCCTAATCTTGTGTGAGAAAAATTACCCCTTAGGAATTTGGCTTAATTGCTTATTTGCAATATGTTTGAACGACGTGTACACGAGGTGACGAGTGTGTACACGATCGTATGTATGATTTATGATCGGATGTGACCCGAGGTTGTTCTTATTGCCTTGTTTGGATTGAGAGATCTCTGCATTACGCGTATTAACTTGGTTGATTACTTGAGCTTATCTTCCATGCTAGAGATCATGTTTTGGTTTTATATTTTCTTAATTGGCCAAGCTGGGCGTTTGTGAGATTGTTGCTATTTGGGTTAGCCGAATTCATGTTTATATGTTGAACACCCATTCACATTCCCTTATTGATTTTTCCTTGTGCACTTCGTTGGCAGATTGTGAGTTTTTGTCTTGATGACAATTGTGGCATATTGTGTTATTATGATTATGGCACATGTAGACTTGTTGGGCGGATTGTTCGAGTGTTTGCACGGAGTTTCTGTCGTGCTATTGTTATTGTTGATATTGCACATATGGCGAGACAAGACGGGTTATATCGGATGTAGTAAGACAAGGTGGGATAATTGTTAATACAGGTGTGGCGAGACAAGGAAGGCATTTACTTTATTGTTGCGCACGCGGTGAGATAAGGATGGTATTGTGGGATGTTGTATGATTGCATGGGGTCGTTGTATTGATTATGTTTGTGTGGTGGTGAAAAGGGGGTATTCTCGATTGTGCTTATAACTTCTTTATGTGTGACATGAATTTTTACGTGCTTCTATGTGTGGTTTCTAACCTGCCAATCTATGTTTCTGTTGTTACTTGATGATTTGGTTGTCAAAATAGATTTACCTATGTGGAGTAGATATCTCATATTCTATTGAGTTGTTGGAAGCGTAACGGATTGAAATAAAAAGAAAGTTGTTATCATCTATTACTTTATTTGATTCTTGATAAATTCCTCTTGAACATGTTATTGGTAACTGATACGGGTATGATACACATTGTGGCACGAGGTCTTTGTCATGCGGGTATGGTATATGTTGTGGCACGGGGTCTTTGTCGTGCGAAGTTGATTGATAACGTGGGTACGAGGTACCCTATGTGTGCGATTCTATTAAATGACTTGTTGTTGGAACTGAGTCTTTACTTGTATTAAGTTGTTATCGCCTATTTTGACGAGTTTACATTAATTGCCTTATTTATACTTTATGTTGTTAGCTATTGATATATTGCACAGGTTTTGTCTAATGAGTGTCTTGACTACTCCACCGAGGTTAGTCTTGATACTTACTGGGTACCGATTGTTGTGTACTCATACTACGCTTTTGCACATTCTTTGTGCAAAATCCAGGTTCTTCGGATCGGGTTGATCGTTAGGTGACGTACGAGCACCAGTTGGAGACTTCAAGGTATCCATGTTGTCCCATTCGCAGGCCTCAAAATCACAATCTTTACTTTATTCTCTACTGTTTATGTATTCCAAACAATATTGTCCTATTCGAGACTTGTTATGTATTCATGAAGAGCTTATGACTCAGTATTACCGGGTTTTGAGAAATTGCTTATTGTATCCACGTTTGGCAGTTTTAATATATTTCTCAGTTTTTATTAAGTTAATAGTTGTTGTAATCTGATTAACATCGTTATGTGATAGGCTTACCTAGTCTTAGAAACTAGGTGTCATCACGACCCCTACGGTGAAATTTTGGATCGTGACAAGATGTGTGTTCAAATTCTGATGTTTTAATCTTAATTAAGATGTTCAAATGTATATTCAGAATCAGTGTCTTAATCTTTAAAAAAAACAAATGAGGTCATTTTACCACTGCGATATCCATCATAGTGTTTTCACTAGCATGCAAAATTCTTAGTTACTTAAAAAAATTAAACATTTTCAAATTTAATTCTAAAAGATGCATTTGTTATACAAAAATTAAGCTAAGTTCAACGCATAGTACTGTAAAAGTAATTCAAGTAAAGCTCAAGATCAGATCGAAACTCGTTTAATACGAGTCATACTCAAATGTTGTTTCACATTTACAATACATGCATGCATATATACATAGGACATAGGGACATGCTTAAATCATCAAAAGGAATAGAGGCCAGACTTCCATTTGTTCAATATTATCACCTTCCGGTTCAAGTGCTGCCTGTTCCGATGAGGCTGAAAGGTACGATAAGGGTCGAGTATCTTGGTTTCATGAGTGATCTCTCCTACCTGTATACCAAGCTTATCAACGGAGACAAGACATAGCTAGCTAGAGAGGAAGGAAACAAAAGCGCAGCTTTTTAAAATTAAAACTGAGTATACAAAAGGTTTGTGTGCCATATCCTCAGAGTTATGTTCTGGAAGGTCGGGGTGGTAGCTCATTTTCAAATCTCAGCGTCTTTCTTTGCTTGTTCTCAGCAGTTCTTCCCTCGAGCTAGTTAATTGAATGGACTAGGTCAGCCACGGCCATCTACTGACAGGGTTGTCAAGAGATAGGCCTTCCGAGGTGCTTGCACGAATAATATGAGTCTTAACTGATGTGAGAAAACAGTTCACATCTTCCACTCCTAAACGGGTTTTCTATTTTAATTTTATTAATTTTATTTTTTGCTACTATTTTATATTTTGTTGTTAAGACGTATAGATTTTTACATCTAGCTGTAAATATTTTACTTCCAGGTGTTAATTCTATTCCTGACATTTTCCAGTATAATACTAATGATTTATCTATATTCCTATCATTTATTGCTATTGAATAATTGGCACTTATTATGAATTTGAATTTTTGATATATGAGATTTCCTTTTATTGCACTTATTATGCTTTTCATCCTTATTTACATCTCCTGTATTTATTTCTACATTTTTTATTTTTTCTATATTTTCTAAGAGTTCTGTATACGTTTCACTTATTTCACTTGATTCTGACTTTTGGTCATTTATATTGTTATCTATTTCTTCAATTCTATCTATTTCATCAATTCTGGGAATTTCTTCTGGTTGTAATATTTGTTTAAATTTATTTATCTCATCTGTTAATTCTATTTCTTTATTTTTCTCTCTTTGCTTGTTTTCATATAGTGCTTTTAACATGTTTAATTCTTTTTCTAATGCTATAATTTTTGTGTTTTTAGTTTCTTCTAATTGTTGTATTTCCCTGTTTGCTTGATTTTTAATAATTTCTATTTCTTTTTTCTTATCAATTTCTTCATTTTCTTTACTTATTCTCGTCATAGCTGTTAAACTATCTTCTAATCTTGCTGTTTCTTTTTCTATCATTAGGTATAATTGGTCTCCTATCTTTTTATATCTTCTGTCTAAATTTGAAAATATTATTTTTATTTTCAATCCATCTTGATTTTCATATGTTTTTTCGTCTATGGCAAATTCTTCTTTGTTCATTTTTAATCTATAGCTCTGATACCATTTTTAGTGTCCTTTCTTTATTTTTAGTGTCCTTTCTATTTTTATTTAATTTCATTTATAATTTAGTCAAATGTAAAAGCTTTTTCATAATATTCTCTTTGTAGTGGAATTAGTCTAATTATTTCTTTTAAGCTTTCTAATATATATTCTATATATTCTATATCTTGGGTTCTTTGATATTCTTCTATATTAGTTTTTACTAGATTTGTTAGTAATTTTATACTGTCGGTAGTTTGTTTCACGAATGATCTAGCTGTACAATTGTAGTGTTGCTGATTTGCAACCAGACAAGATCAGTAGAGAAGGAGAGAGTAGGGGTGGAAAGAATAAAAAGGACAGGAAAAAGAAGGCTGGCAGATAGAAGAAGTCAAGGCTGAGACTAGGACAAAAGTACATCAACCGTATCAAGTACCAAGTAGAAGAAAAAAATTAGAGCAGGATTATACCTTGGCAGAAGATTTTGTCCTCTGTTAGTTCTTTCACCTCTTTCATTAGTTCGTTCAGTTCTTTCACCTCTTTCATTAGTTCGTTTGCAAGAGGCACTGAACTAGTCCCATGTTGGCTGAGCACATATATACAGATTGAAGATCCTCGACAGAAAAAAGAATGAGAAAAGGCATAGAGGAAATGTGAAGAAGAGAATTCGCAGCAGCAGCAGCAGAAACTGAGTTCGCGGAACCAATAGAACAAGAAGTGGTAAGACACATTCAAAAAGTACCTTTGACGATTTAGAAAAAGGGGTAAATTAAAGTTTTCAGGAGAAAAGAAACAAATTACGAGAGCGCTCCACTGTGAAATATAAATACATTAATTTTAGTATGAAGCTTCATTTCTTATGTGTCTTAACTCAAATTTCAAAGTGAGATGGTTTTTGTTCTTTCTTCTTTTTTTTCCTTCATCATAATACAGAAAAAGCGAATGAAAAATCAAGAAAACATCCAGCAGAGAAATAACACATGCAGAAGATGGGATATGCAGATCTGAGTACTAATAACCCACCAGAACCATGGTATGCATTAGCAGATAGATAGAAGGGACCAAAACTAACTGTATCGTTACATGCATTCTGACCTTGTGCTTGGCTTTTAGTCCACTTGTATGAACCATCTTTTTTTTGCTAAAGTTTCTTTTATAAGTTATCTGAAAAAGGAAAGGAACTAACTGCACCCAAAAGAGGTAAATATAGTTAGAGAAACCAAGTTAAGCAGCAATAAAGAGAAGCTAAGAGTTGTATTATACTCTATACCTTTTCTACACTCTAGTATTTTACGAGGACTGGCCTTATTTTCCCAACTTAAAGTTTGCTAAGCGCTCCGAATAAGTCTCACTGATGAAGTCCTTATCTGGAAATCTTTTCTGCTCTGAAGCAGTTCAAGGCACTTTGATATTCTGACTCTAAATCTCAGATTTGGGAATTGCAATCATAATCAGGAATAATCAAAGATTCAATACAGATGGTTTCTTAATCAGACAAGGGCTCCCTCACCATAAGATTTATTTTCAGCTGAAGGAATTCAAGTACATCTTCTCTCCCTTCCTTGAGAAGTAACTGTCTTAATTTTTCAAATGTCATCCTACCAGGACGCATTCCTTTCTCTATCATCTCTTCCATCAACACACAGGCCTTAGAAACATCAGCATTGTCGCACAGCCCATTAATAAATGCAGAAAAGGTGTGCATGCCTGGAACAAATTGCTTGCGTTTCATATATTTCCACACTTTATGAGCCATCTTCAGCTCATTCCTCTCGCAAAACATCTTAATCATCATAGTGTACGTGTCTGCATCAGGATCGAAAATTTTGAGCATCCTACGGAAAACCTTAAAAGCATCATCAGTCTCACCTCGAGCAATCAAGCCACTCAGAATGATATTGCAAGTCCTTGCGTTCGGGGTCACCCCCTTCAATTGCATGTCATTTAGAACCCTATAGATATTTTTGAATTTATTTACCTTACAGAAAGCACTAATTAGAGAATTATATACTGCTACATCAGCCTCAACTCCATTTTTTTCCATCTCAAGGAATGTATCTATCGCATCTTCAATCCGATTTTCCAGCCCATATGTATGAACTAAAACACTATAAATGAAAGATGTTGGCCTGCAACCGCTGAACTCCATCTCCTTGACAATTTCAACGGCCTTGTCGACCCTACCAGCCTTGCAAAGGATGTCAACCATGATCCCATAAGTCACAATATCAGCATTACAGCCCACCTCAATCATTTCCCTGTAAACTTCCCTTGCCTTAGGCAGATTGGGAGCCCTTCCCCACCCCTCAATCAATATGCTATAAGTTTTTGTATCAGGAACAAATTCATGTTTCTTACTATCGAAAATCTCCTGAGCTTTTCGCACATTTTTTGATTTACATAGAGCACTCAATAAGCCATTAAAAGCGGCCAGGTTAGAGGGCACATCGAACTTGTTCATGATATTGAAAGTGTAAACAGCTTCCTCTACTTTTTGCGCCCTAGCATATTTTCTCATGATTATGCAAAAAGTCTCAATATTAAGCATTCCCTTGGTTTTCATCTTATTTACAAGATCCCACATAATCTGATATTGCCTTATCTTGGCAAGAGATTCAATCATGATGTGGTAGGATCTCGTGCTATGTTCATAATTATGTTGCTTCCCAGCCCATTCAAATAAACGATACGCAAGCATTCCAGCATTCTCAAATCTCTTAAGGGCATCGTCAAGCATCTCTGATGAAATCCTAATCCCACTTTGGTCAAGCTCTGTGTCAAGGCCCAATTTTGGACAAGACATCATAATTTTACAAAGCCTATTCAGCGGATCGAGTTTGTCTTCCATTGATTCTTTAGAACTATACATTCGGGTAACAATCACCTTTCTACCCCACAATTTCTGATGAAGTTGGCGTAGCATGGTCCTCCTGTGAAAAGCAGATCACACTTTTACAGTATCTGGAAAAGTAGAAAGCAATGAGTAACTCATCTGATCTTTTGGGTTATTGGTATGTGAAAGTGTAACATCATTCTTTTGTTCACTTTCAGATCGAAGTAATACAATCAAGCCAATGATCTTCACACATGTCAAGAGAAGAAGAATAGAATTTCAACTATTTACAACTCAAATATGGACTACCTATTCGACTTAGGTATTTCTATGAGCAACGGGCAGTAGCAAACACCAGAAACTGTAATAATCCTTTTTTCCTCATTTGGCGCAGACTTGAGGGGAATGCTTACATTTAGAAAAGAAAAGAAAAATGTAAGTATTCCGCATAAGTGAGTAAGATTAGGCGATACTTCCTGGTACATGAAGGAGCATGCCATGCTCGAAAATCAAGTGAATATTCTTTAAAGGAATAAAATAAAAACAGTTTCTCACATCACTAAATACCCGGATTCCATACCAAAAACCTTCACCTTAATCTCAACAACTTGACTCTCTAGCTTATGATTTACAACATGTAAATTCAAGAAAACCCATTGAGACAACAGAAAGATCTATCAAATTTCCTTTCAAAGGACTCATCAAATCAAATTTCACAGAACAAAAGAATTCCTTCAAATTACAAAAACGGGTTGCAAGAACTGAATCAAAATTCATGTAAACCATATGGATAAATGTAGATACACACATGAATGCAACTTACCCATCAATTTCGCCGGAGAAAGAGGAAGCTAGGAGTTCGCCAGAGGAAGATGCAGGTAGGCTAAACTATACCCTAAGCTTAAATTTTCATAATTTGAATATCCAATAACCGTTAAAATAAAATAAAAATCCCTAAACATTTACAAAATGAGCAGGCGACCAGTGATTTCTACA